CCGCATCATCAGGAGAAGAGGGTGGGATGGCAGCTTGGCAGGCGAGACAAATGAACCGGATAGTCGGTGTTATGCCCAGGAGGCAGCAGGGTCGCAGCAGTTGTCAGTGGAGGCAAACGGCCACGGCGTAGAGCACCAGCTCCACTGCAGGCCTACCACCACGGCCAGTAGTGGTGCCGGTGTGCACGGGAGGAAGGTAGCAGTCAGCCAGTGAGGAGTATCGGGGGCAAAGTTTCCCTACTCGGACGGTGTGGCATTTTTCGTCAAGCCGCCCGAGGAAGTAAACGTAAGCCGTATGTCGACTATGTGGCCAGAAAGTCAAGCGTGGCCAGGGGGGCCCATGTTGGGACTACAGCGTTGCGCGTCAGCATATGGCAGCGTCACCATTTGGTGGCTGGGAAAACCGTGATAAAGATACGGCGGTTTCTGCCTGCCCCAGCCCCCGCTCCATCACCCCGCTCCGTTATTTGCTCCGTCACCCGACGTCAATCGCCCTCTATCAGCCAGTCAAGGCTCCAACACCTCTGCTGAGGGGAGTTGTCACTCGTTGGCATCTTCCGCTCGTTCAGATGTCTCCTTCTCCTGCTACTCCTCCTTCACGGATTCCGTCAGCAGTCTTTCTTGGAATCCGTTTCCCAAAGAGAACAACAGTTTGCGAGCACGCACCCGACGGTGCAAAAGCTGAACGTCCCTGCCTGTCCCAAGTTGCTGGTGCTGCAGTCCCTCCCCTTTCAAGTGGTGGACTCAGCACCTTTCCGAGAAATGATGATAGCTTGTGCCGTCGCCGCGGTGGAGAGTGCCAAAGCCGTCATTTCTTCGCCAAAAAGGCAGTGCCAGCCCTGCATTCACATGTAAAGAGATGGTTGGGCCAGTCTTTGAGCATGTCGGCCTCTGCCAAAGTGCACGGCAGCGCCGACAGTGTGGAGCTGTAACTACGGTCAGGGACAGTACAATGTCATTTACGCACACACTGGGTTGAACGTGGTGCCGGCACAGCCGCACCAGCAACTTGGACAGGTCCACACGCCCGCTTTTGCCTCCACGTTTGCACGTCCTTGGTCCACAAAAGACATGTCCGCCTCTACCACCTCTTCTTTTCCGCCGTGTCCTCCAGCCGCCACCCCCGTGCCCTGCAAAGTCCCATTACCCACCGGCATATCACATGTGCAGGGCGCAACGGTGTCAACGCTGTGCTGCACCTGGTATGGCCTTAAACGAACGTAGTCACACAGGGGAGGAACTTCTGAGTGTAATGAAACAAGAGAAATCGACAGATGGCTGTCCTCCGCGCAAACTGAAAATCGGAACCATGTTGACCGACAACGGAAAGAAGAACATGGTGTCTGCTCTGCGTCAAGGAAAGGTTGTGCCATGCGCCATGCATGGCTCACCGTGATTCAATCTGGTTGTCAAGGCGGTTCCTATAAAATCCACCATCCCACTGCAAGACATCCTTAAAAGTCACGTAAACTTTTGCATGCATTTCAGCCATTCCTACACCTGCAAAGCTAACCACCTCCTTGAGCTGCAACGCAGAACGGAATTCCACAGCATCGCCTGATCTGCGACGTGTGCTAACAAGGTGGGAATTCAACCCTACACATGTTAGACCGCCTTTAACGAACAGCGAAAGACCATCACCGATTTCCTAACAATGGCCTGGTCAGGGCTGCGGTAGACGTTGGCGCACAGATCTCCAGTCCAAACCACATGACCCCTGTGGGGGCAGGACAGAAAGAAAGGAGGAGGTAGAGGAGGACATTTGTGCTCAGGGAATTATTGAGTGAAATGGGTGGTTTTTCCCACTCAGCGGACAGGAGTGGAGGAGCAAGGAGCATCTGGTAGAGGAGGACGAACAGAGACCCAACGCACCGTGGCAGTATGCTGTGGAGATGGAGGCAGGGAGTCCCTCGCATTCCTTGGCACAAATGGCCCATAGCATGCTCGGTTGCTTGCGTAGCGACAGCCGAATAATAACCATCAGACAGAGGGATGACTTTTGGCTGTCCACCTTGTTGGGACCCTCGCTACCGTTCAAAAATGGTGGCCTTTTTTTCACACCTGCTGAGAGGGAGGGCCAAAATAACGTACTATAAAAACCACCTATGTAGTCAGTTGGTCTCTGCCTTTCTGCGCCAACGTCCATCCTCAGACACTGTGGGCCACTGTGCGCTCGCGTTCCGCTGCCATGGCAGCAGGGGAGGGGTTGGGGGTGGTAGGAGCAGTGGCAGCTCCACCAGCAGCGGCTTGCCTCAGTCTGCAGTCGATGATGAGTAGCTTTTTCTTCACCAGCGCAGTGAGGAAACTTACTAACACAGCCGCAGCAGCAGCAGCATCAGGTGGACCTGGAGCAGGACCTCAAACAACAGGCTTGGGCCTTTACTTGGACAGCACCCTGCCAACCGAGGTAGACAATCCCTTGACTACTTGGGCAACGAAACTTGACCTTTGGCCCCCAACTAGCTGAATTTGCCCTTGAAAAAGGCTGTCATGCCCCGGCCATAGAGCGTGGCCTCGGAGCGCGTGTTTAGTGCAGGCAGGAGGTATTGTAACTCCGCGGAGGACACGACTGTCCACCCAAAGTGTGGAGAGACTCACGTTTGTGAAAATGAATCAGGCGTGGATTAGTCTGGATTTCAAACCACCAGTTCCTGACACACTGACTAAATCCGCCATGAATCATGCCCCAAACATGTGCCACTTTTCAGGTCTCCTCACACTGCTGGTGTGTTCCATTTTTTGTCATAGGGTGCTGGCAGATTACGGGCCTCCCATTGCTGCTGCCAGGCCGTAATCTGCCATGGGCCCCCCGTACCGCCTCCTCATGCTGCTGCCAGGTCCAGAGTGTGTCATGGGTCCCTGTACGGCCTCCATGCAGCTGTCTCCATCGCCACACTCTGCCATGTGCCACTTTCAGGTCTCCTCACACTGCTGGTGGGTTCCATTTTTGTTTTAAATTAAAGGTTGCAGTGTTCTGCACTAATATAAAGGCTCTCTGAAGCCTAGAAACACCCTTTTATAATTTTAAATTCGCAGCGAATTTATTCGCATCGAATCGAATTTATTCCTCGAATTCGCCGATATTCCCCCGAATTCGCCGAATCAGCCGAATCGAATTTTTCAATACTTCGCTCATCTCTAATCTCCATGTATAATACATAAGGGGGGATATGATCACCATGTATAATACATAAGGGGGGATATGATCACCATATATAATACATAAGGGGGGATATGATCACCATGTATAATACATAAGGGGGGATATGATCACCATGTATAATACATAAGGGGGATATGATCACCATGTATAATACATAAGGGGGGATATGATCACCATGTATAATACATTAAGGGGGGATATGATCACCATGTATAATACATAAGGAGGGATATGATCACTCCATGTATAATACATAAGGAGGGGATATGGATATGATCACCATGTATAATACATAAGGAGGGATATGATCTCCATGTATAATACATAAGGGGGGATATGATCTCCCTGTATAAATACATAAGGGGGGATATGATCTCCATGTATAATACATAAGGGGGGGATATGATCTCCCTGTATAATACATAAGGGGGGATATGATCTCCATTTATAATACATAAGGGGGATATGATCTCCATGTATAATACATAAGGGGGATATGATCACCATGTATAATACATAAGGGGGGATATGATCACCATGTATAATACATAAGGGGGGATATGATCTCCATGTATAATACATAAGGGGGATATGATCTCCATGTATAATACATAAGGGGGATATGATCTCCATGTATAATACATAAGGGGGGATATGATCTCCATGTATAATACACCTAAGGGGGGGATATGATCTCCATGTATAATACATAAGGGGGGATATGATCTCCATGTATAATACATAAGGGGGGATATGATCTCCATGTATAATACATAAGGGGGGATATGATCTCCATGTATAATACATAAGGGGGGATATGATCTCCATGTATAATACATAAGGGGGGATATGATCTCCATGTATAATACATAAGGGGGGATATGATCTCCATGTATAATACATAAGGGGGGATATGATCTCCATGTATAATACATAAGGGGGGATATGATCACCATGTATAATACATAAGGGGGGATATGATCTCCATGTATAATACATAAGGGGGATATGATCTCCATGTATAATACATAAGGGGGGATATGATCTCCATGTATAATACATAAGGGGGGATATTGATCTCCATGTATAATACATAAGGGGGGGGATATGATCTCCATGTAGAATACATAAGGGGGGATATGATCACCATGTATAATACATAAGGGGGATATGATCTCCATGTATAATACATAAGGGGGGATATGAATGTATAAATACATCAGTGGTTCATATAGTGAACTCGGTGTAGAGTTATTCCCCCTGAGGTCATCACAGAGGACAAGGGGGCACTCTTTACGTCTCGAGGGAAAAGAAAAATTTAATCTCCAAACACTGGAAAGGTTTCTTCACAGTGAGAGCTGTGACAATGTGTAATAGACTTCCTCAAGAGTTGGTTCTGGACAGCTCAGTGGATTGCTTTAAAAAAGTCTTGGATTCTTTCTTAGACAAACAGAATATAAGTGGATACTAACATGTATAGGTAAAGTTGATCCAGAGAATATCCGATTGACTCTTGGGGGATCAGGAAGGAATTTTTTTTCCCTGCAGGAGCAAATTGGATCGTGCTTTGCTATTTTTTATTTTTTTTTTTTGCCTTCCTCTGGATCAACTGTGGGTGTAATATTATAACTTTTTTTTTTTTTTTTTGGTTGAACTGGATGGACTTTTGTCTTTTTTGAGCCAAACTAACTATGTAACTATGTTTACAAGCTTTAATACAATTGTAATTCAGTTTTATGTGCCAGCTGCCAAACTTGGAATGGCAGGTGCCTGTGGATGTGCATTTTGAAATGGTTCTTAAATACTTTTAAAATAATTATTTGTTTTTAATTTGAAGGGAAGAAGATCCAGATGATGTTCCACATGGCCATATCACTTCTTTGGTATGGTTTTTTGTTTTTTTTTTTTGTTATGCCTGCATGTGACATGCTAGCAGTGCTAAGAGAGAGCGCACACAGAGACAGTTCACATGAAACCTGACCTGCAAACATTTACTAGGGAACATGAGGTCTCAGAAGGTGTAACAAGATAGTAAAAGGAAACAGTCCACCGAGTAGCAATGTAATACCACATAGAGAGTCCATGTTGGATGGCCCAGCACAAATGGGGAACCAGTACACAGGGCCACTGGACGGTATGGCAAGGGGAATGTACCCAGCCCACAGGACAGGGATTTGGACAGACCACAGTAAAACGTAGCAGGGGGTAAGCCCAGCATGCAGGACAGAGATCCGAGCAGACAAGGGTAGGACGTAGGAAGGGTTAAATCCAGCAGACAGGGGAGGGATCTGGACAGACCAGAGTAAAACGTAGCAGGGGGGTAAGTCCAGCATGCAGGACAGAGATCCAAGCGGACAAGGGTAGGAAGGGTTAAATCCAGCAGACAGGGGCAGGGATCTGGACAGTACCAGAGTAAAACGTAGCAGGGGGGACAAGGGTAGGAAGGGTTAGTCCAGCATGCAGGGCAGGGATACGAGTAGACAAGGGTAGGACGTAGGAAGGGTTAAATCCAGCAGACAGGGCAGGGATCTGGACAGAGGAGGTGATAAGTCCAGGCAAAGGGCAGAGATCTGGGGCAGAGATAGACAAGGGGTTAAGTCCGGCAAAGGGCAGAGATCTGGGTAGACAAGGGGTTAAATCTAGCCTGTAGAACAAAGCAGACAGCAAGGAAGACTTGGGCTGGCCATACATGGGTTGATTTTTGAACGATTTTTCGTTCGATAATGGGCCGATTTTTGCACTATTAGTGGGGCAATGACACCGGCCGATTTTCATGGTTCCTCCCCATTTCTTTTATCTGGCATGCTGGAAAATCATGAAAAAAGACCGATTTTCGAAATCATTGGTGGCACCATCGGATTTCAGAACGTACAGTGTTTTTGATTTTTGATCAAAAAATCGTTCGTAATTCAACCCATGTATGGCCTGCTTTAGCCACAGTGAGGTTAAGTCCTTAGTACACACGGCGGGGCAGCAGAGCATGGAACATCAAGGGTACAGGCCAGCACACGCAGTAGCTGTCAGATACAGCAGGAACTTAGTCCAGAGTCACAGGGCAACAATACGGGCACAGTGAGTAGCAGGCCACAATCCACTACAGCGAATTCCAGGGGCACAAGACAGAAATTCAGGGACTCACCAACCAACAGTGGCCTCAGAGGAGGAAATTCCAGGCAAAGTGGCATGGGAAAGCAGGTCCAGAGGGCAGAGGTCCTTCACAAATCCATCCATCATGGGTCCTCTAAGGACTGTGTTTCTTGGCCTCCACTTCAGAGCCAGACAGGCAGCAGTTGAAGGAAGAGCGAGGGATAGAGTGAAGTCCCAGTGTCCAGAACGCCACACAGAACTACAAGTCCCAGCATTGTAGAAAACAAAGTCTATCTCACCAGTTCCATGTACTTCTAAGGAGACCTGCAGACATGAGCTCCTCTGTCCACCACCAAAGTAAGCTCTCCACGGTCTGACACGTTCTCCCAGCATAGGAATATTATATTGTACTTTGAATTCAACCAAGACCTAAGCATGCAAGACCCGGTGCCGGGGCATCTCGCTATATCCAGGTACAGGACACAATACCGTCTGAGCTTCCTGTGAAGGTCAATGTAATCTCCTATCTAGGGGCGGACTGACAAGTCATGTGGCCCCCGGGCAATAGGGGATCATGGGGCCCCTGTGTCCTTGCCCAAACTCAAAAAAAGCCTATGAAAAAGGTACCAGGGGCATCTCATGGGGCCCCCTACTGAACCTGGGCCCTCGGGCAGTGCCCGAGTTTCCAAATGGTCAGTCAGCCTCTGCTCCTATCACCTTCGGATGCAGGAACTCCTGCATCAATTGAGCAGACAAACTGACTGCTTTTCACACTGCTGATTTCAACAAAACAAAAATATTTCTGCCTTCCGCTACATTGCGCGTATCATTTTATTTTTACTGCATCAATTGCAATATTTTGAATCTGATTTTTGTTCTTCTTTGCCCTCAGGCTGTGAAGCGGTCTCACAGACGACTTGGTCTGGCACAAAAATTGATGGACCAAGCTTCTAGAGCCATGATCGAGAACTTCAATGCTAAATATGTTTCTTTGCACGTGCGGAAAAGGTACACTGCCTAAATCATCTATTTCCTGATAGTTTCTGATTGGTTGTGTTCGGACTTTTCAGTAGCTGTAATTTTAAAGCCCAACTCCGGTAAAAAGGAAAAAACAAACTCTGGTAACAAAAAAAAAAAACCACCTGCGGTTACACAGCAAGGGTTAAACGCTGGTGTCTGTCTAGGGCACAGGTGTCAAACACAAGGCCCGCGGGCCAAATCCAGCCCTCCAGGCCATTTCATGTGGCCCTTGCACCTCTCCTGCAGGTACCCCCTTCATTCTCCAAAAAATGTAGAAAACTTAATAGCCAATACTTTCTGGGGCCTTACTCCACCACATTCATCGGGACCTCAATAGTACTGTATATGAAAAATATATGAAAATAATAAAATGGCAAACATACAAATGATAAAGTAATAATATTAAAAAACAATGAATAATAATTATAAAATCCACAGTATTACAGTGCCTTGAAATAGTATTCATACCCCTAGAAATTTTCCACATTTTGTGATATTACAACCAAAAACGTAAATGTATTTTTATTGGGATTTGATGTGATAGACCAACACAAAGTGCCACATAATTGTGAAGTGGAAGGAAAATGAGAAATGGTTTTCAATTTTATTTTAGAAATAAGTGAAAAGTGTGGCGACATTTGTATTCAGCCCCCCGGAGCCAATACTTTGTAGGACCCCCTTTCGCTGCAATTCCAGCTGCAAGTTTTTTTGGGGATGTCTCTACCAGCTTTGCACATCTAGAGAGGGACATTTTTGCCCATTCTTCTTTAAGGAATAGCTCGAGCTCTGTCAGATTGGATGGAGAGCGTTTGGGAACAGCAGTTTTCAAGTCTTGGCACAGATTCTCAATTGGATTTAAGTCTGGACTGTGACTGGGCCATTCTAACACATGAATATGCTTTGATCTAAACCATTCCATTGTAGTTCTGGCTGGATGTTTCGGGTCATTGTCCTGCTGGAAGGTGAACCTTCACCCCAGTATCAAGTCTTTTGCAGACTCTAACAGATTTTACTTTGAGATTGCCCTGTATTTGGCTCCATCCATCTTCCCATCAACTCTGACCAGCTTCCCTGTCCTTGCTGAAGAAAAGCATTCCCACAAAATGATGCTGCCACCACCATGTTTCAAGCGGGGATGGTGTGTTCAGGGTGATTAGTTTTCTGCCACACATAGTTTTTTGCTTTTAGGCTAAAAAGTAAAATTTTGGTCTCATCTGACCAGAGCCCCTTCTTCCACGTTTGCTATGTCTCCCACATGGCTTCTCGCAAACTGCAAATGGGACTTCTTATGACTTTCTTTCGACAATGGCTTTCTTCTTGCCACTTTTCCATTCTCCCACCTGAGCTGTGGATCTCTGCAGTTCCTCCAGAGTTCCCATGGGCCTCTAGGCTGCTTCTCTGATTAATGCTCTTCTTACCCGGTTTGTCATTTTAGGTGGACGGCCATGCCATCATAGGTTTGCAGTTGTCCCAAAATATTTCCATTTTCAGATGTTGGATTGAACAGTGCTCCGTGAGATGTTCAAATCTTGGGATATTTTTATAACCCAACCCTGCTTTAAACTTCTCCACAATTTTATCCCTGACCTGTCTGGTGTGTTCCTTGGGATTTATGATGCTTTTTGTTCACTAATGTTCTCTAACAAACCTCTGAGGTCTTCACAGAAGAGCTATATTTATACTGAGATTAAATTACTAATTAGATGACTTTTGAAGGCAATTGGTTCCACTAGATCTTAGTTAGGGGTATCAGAGTAAAGGCGGCTGAATACAAATGCATGCTACACTTTTCAGATATTTCAAACAAATTTGAAAACCATTTATCATTTTCTTTCCACTTCACAATTATGTGCCACTTTATGTTGGTCTATCACATAAAATCCCAGTAAAACACATTTTCTTTTTTGGTTGTAACATGACAAAATGTGGAAAATTTCAAGGGGTATGAATACTTTTTCAAGGCACTGTATAAAATACTTAATATTTACGTAATAAAAACTGTTCTATTAATCTATTATTTTGGGTGCATAGTTGTTTGATTTATGCATGAACTGAATTAACCCCATCCAGCTGCTCCGTTAAAGTATACCTAATGGCAAAACTTTTTTTTTTAGTTTTTGTAGTGGAGAGGGATTAGAACCCCTGTCAGTTTTTATTGCTGTCTGTTCACCCGTCAAGGAGATTCACTCTCTCTATTTGTCTGTTTACCATTATTATTGAAAGTGAATGTAAAAGGAAAACCCAAATTTTTGGTTGTCCCCCGAAAAGTAATAGGGGGGAAATATTCTAATGGGGACATAAGTTCTGGTGACCTGGGGGTCCCCAAGGAATTCCCTTAATTTCCAGGAATTTCCTCTCCCTTCCTGTTTGGTTATGGGACAGGAATTGAAGGGAAATCTCTGCAGTGGGACACACATGGTGAAAAAAAAAATCCCACAGGGGTTATAAACTTCCCTTACTCTATCAAATTTTAAAAATAAAATTTTGCCTATAGCTCTAATTTTCCAGTGTAAAGGTAGTCTTTGGATGCATTTTCATCATTCGTCCTCAACCACTCTTAAATAATGGGGCAGCGCTGATATCAAACACAAATGGTACAAATTGTGAAGGCTGTGACTAGTACTCCAATTATCATACACTCCAACACTGAATAAAAAAAAAAATAATAAAAATGTCTCTGTAAATAAAGAATGTCCCTAGATAAATCCTTAGTGTTCGTAAAAATTTCTTCTTCTTATTAAGTGTTCTTGCATGGCAAGACCACTTCCTGTTATCTCACATATATATTCTTATTATTATAGCCAAATTTACCACCCTAACTCCTCCCACAGTTTTTACACTACATAGACAGTAATATACCGAAACGTGCGGATTGTTACCGATTGGTGTGCTATTACTTTGTGGAACGTTTCGCCAAATGGTTCACGAAATATCAGCATTTTTGTGGTGAAATTGGTCCCATAGGAATAAATGGCGGAATGTTCAAAACTAGAGTGGGAGCTGACAAAAGCTAGAGTGTGAGCTGGAAAATCAGGACATGATTTGTAAACTGCCATCACTCCCTCATTTTCAAGCCCACCTACACAAATCTTATATCAAAACGTTCAGCTATCCCTGCTGCCACTAAAAATGTCCACGGCTAAGCCATAGTCCTGATAGTTTTCACAATATCAATTGGTTAGTGTAATGTTTACTATCTTTATTCACTCCAAACACTCCACACAGTTACTCTGCCCACTCTATAAAGTTACTCTGCCCAGTCCAACCTTTTCACAGTTACTCCAGCCACTCCAACCACACAACAGTTACTCCGCCCACTCCACCCAGTTACTCCGCCCACTCCAGTTGTAGACTATTGGTGGAGGCAAGAACACTTCACACAATTTCCCCAGAAATTGTAGCTTTTCTAGTTATTATTATACAGTATTTATATAGCGCCAACAGTTTGCTCAGCGCTGTACGTTATAATGGGAGACAGTACAGGAGACAGCACAGTAACAATACAATACAATACACGAGGGGTTCGAGGGCCCTGCTCCTTGGAGCTTACAATCTAGGAGGGAGGGGAGAGTGGTACAGGAGGAAATAGCTGTGGGGGATGGAGTGGTGGAAAGAGCGGAGGAGATCAAGCAATTAGGTGAGGGTGGGGTAGGCTTCTCTAAAGAGATGGGTTTTCAGGGTGCGCCTAAAGGTGAGGAGGGTAGGTGACAGTCTGATGGATTAGGGTAGTGAGTTCCAGAGGATGGGGGAAGTCCTGGAGATGGCCATGGGAGGAGGAGACCAGGGAACTGGAGAGTAGGAGGTCTTGTGAGGAGCGGAGAGTGCGTTTTGGGTGGTAGATGGATATCGGGTCGGTGATGTAGTTTGGGGCAGTGTTATGATATTTTGTTATATATTCAAATTGTTTTCTCACCTGAAACAAACATACTTTTTTTTTTTAAAATGAGATCTTTTTTTATTAATGGAAGTATAGATCCATGTACACATATAATCAAACAACCACAAACTCCAACGGAGTGTGGCGTTAGTATCAACAAGTTACATCGTTCTAATATAAAAGGGGTACAAAATCATGTATACCGAAGATATAACCATAGATTCCAGACCACAACATTTTCCATATCCTTTTTTTTTTTTTTAAAAAGAAGTAAAAAAAAAACCAGATTTCAAAATAGGCTGGGAAAAAAAACAGAAGGTAATGAAAATAACACGAGTTGTAAAACCAAAATGATTTTTAACAATTTAACAAAAACAAAAACCAGCCGCCTTCGAACTGAACTCCGAAAGTCAAACCTGAACCAAATATTACTTTTTTTGGTCAATTTCATCTGCTGGAAGATAGATCAATCAATGTGTTTTCAAATCTTCCTTCCAAACGTCCTTATCTGCTCAGAGTGCATGCAAAAAATCAAACCACATAATGTTATATCCTTCAACCAACTCGCTTTTTGATATAAGTTGGTATACTACTCACGGTCAGGGGCGGACTGACAACTCATGGGGCCCCCGGGCAGTAGGGGATCATGGGGCCCCTGTGTCCTTGCCCAAACTCAAAAAAGCCTATGAAAAAGGTACCAGGGGCATCTCATGGGACCCCCTACTGACTCCGGGCCCTCGGGCAGTGCCTGAGTTTCCAAATGGTCAGTCCGCCCCTGCTACTCACGTTTAAATCTCATTCAATCGTGCCTTGTGTAATCTACAGTTGCAAGAAAAAGTATGTGAACCCCTTGGGATTACGTGGAGTTTTGCATGAATTGGGCATAAAATGTGCTCTGAACGTCATCTAAGGCATGACCTTAAGAGAGCGATTCACACCAGTCATCCCAAGAACTACAGGAAACGTTTGGTTGAGGTGATTGCTGCCAAAGGAGGGTCAACCAGTTATTAAGTCCAAAGGTTCACATACTTTTTCCTCCCTGCACTGTGAATGTTTACATGTTATGTGCAATTAAACCATGGCAACATCTAATGTTTGTGTAGTATTATGTTCAGCAGACTGTGTTCTTCTATTGTTGTGACTTAGATGACGTTCAGAGCACATTTTATGCCCAATTCATGCAAAACTCCACGTAATCCCAAGGGGTTCACATACTTTTTCTTGCAACTGTATATATAAAAAGTGCTCATGCAATGCATTACACTTCCACCCAATACACCCTCACCATGGACCCTTAATGTGTAAGCTCCAATATACTCCTGAGGTTCTTAAAGTGTTTTCTGGATCACTTCAATCCGTTTAATATTTCCAGTGTTGCCCTTTTAAATCCTCTTCCACTCAGTCAGCATGCAAATAGAGATACTTAGGGGTTTATTAACTAAACCTGGAAAGTGCAAAATCAGGCTCACTTCTGCATAGAAACCAATCGGCTTCCAGGCTTTATTGCCAAAGCTTAAGTGCTGGTTCACACATACACGGCCACATTATTAGGCACACCTGTTCAATTGCTTGGTAACACAAATTACTAATCAGCCAATCACATGGCAGCAACTGGGTGCATTTAGGCATCTAGATGTGGTGAAGTTCAAACTGAGTATCCGAATGGGGAAGCAAGGGGAGTTAAGTGACTTTGACCGTGGCATGGTTGTTGGTGCCAGACAGGCTGGTCTGAGTATTTTGAAAATTGCTGATCTACTGGGATTTTCACGCAAAACCTACTCTAGGGTTTACAGAGAATGGTCTGAAAAAGAGAAAATTTCTAGTGAGCGACAGTTGTGTAGATGAAAATGCCTTGTTGATGTCAGAGGTCGGAGGAGAATGGGCTTACTAGTTGCTGCTACATTAGGATGGTAAGGTCAGAATTTGGTGTGAATAACATGAAAGCATGGATCCATCCTGCCTTGTATCATTGTTCAGGCTGGTGGTGTAATGATGTGGGGGATAGTTTCTTGGCACTAGCAAGGTGTACCTAATAAAGTGGCCAGTGAGTGTATACAGTTCAAACCGCATCCAGCCCGCATGACATGTGAAATAACATTGCTTCCTTTGGTGTCTGTGTGCAAATGTCCATTAAATATTTTTGTTGTACAACTTCTTTGCAGCAATCGAGCAGCACTTCATTTGTATTCCAACACCTTGAACTTCCAGTAAGTATTCAGCGTCTGTTTGTGGTATAATAGATATTATTTTTTGTTTTTAAATTATTTAAGACCCCAAACTAATATTCTTTGCTGTATACTATTTAACCCCTTGCCCTCAAGAGGATTTGCCCCCCTTCCTGACCAGGCCTTTTTTTGCGATACGGTGCTGCATTACTTTAACTGACAATTGCGCGGTTATGCAACGCTGCACCCAAATTAAATTTACGTCCTTTTTTTTCCCCCACAAATAGAGCTTTCTTGTGGTGGTATTTGGTCGCCTGTGCGGTGTTTATTTTTTGCGCTATAAAAAAAAAGGTCCAACAATTTAAGGAAAAAAACTATATTTTTACATAGTTACATAGTCATTTATAAATATATTAAAAAGTAAGGATCCCAACACTGAACCTTGGGGTACACCACTGATGACCCTAGACCAGGGGTGGGCAACTGTGGCCCTCCAGCTGTTGGTGAACTACAAGTCCCATCATGCTTCTGCCTTTTGGAAGTCATGCTTGTAACTGTCAGTTTTGCAATGCCTCATGGGACTTTTAAGTCTACAACAGCTGGAGGGCCATAGTTGCCCACCCCTGCACTAGACCATTCAGAGTATGAATCATTAAACACCACTCTCTGAATACGATCTTCTAGCCAGTTTTCTATCCATTTACATATGGATTTTTCCAAGCCCGTAGACTTTACCTTACACATTAGCCGTGTGTGGGGAACTGTGTCAATCAGTTTTGCAAAATCCAAGTATACCACGTCCACCGTCACCCCTCTGTCCAAGTATACCATATCCACCACCACCCCTCTGTCCAAGTATACCACGTCTACTGCCACCCCTCTGTCCAAGTATACCGCGTCCACCACCCCTCTGTCCAAGTATACCACATCCACTGCCACCCCTCTGTCCAAGTATACCACATCCACCTCCACCCCTCTGTCCAAGTATACCACGTCCACTGCCACCCCTCTGTCCAAGTATACCACGTCCACTGCCACCCCTCTGTCCAAGTATACCACGTCCACAGCCACCCCTCTGTCCAAGTATACCACGTCCACAGCCACCCCTCTGTCCAAGTATACCTGTCCACTGCCACCCCTCTGTCCAAGTATACCATGTCCACCGCCACCCCTCTGTCCAAGTATACCATGTCCACCGCCACCCCTCTGTCCAAGTATACCTCGTCCACTGCCACCCCTCTGTCCAAGTATACCTCGTCCACCGCCACCCCTCTGTCCAAGTATACCACGTCTCCGTCCAAGTATACCACGTCCACCCCACCCCTCTGTCCAAGTATACCACGTCCACCGCCACCCCTCTGTCCAAGTATACCACATCCACCGTCACCCCTCTGTCCAAGTATACCTGTCCAAGTATACCACGTCCACCACCACCCCCCTCTGTCCAAGTATACCACGTCCACCGCCACCCCTCTGTCCAAGTATACCACGTCCACCGCCACCTGTCCAAGTATACCCCACTGCCACCCCTCTGTCCAAGTATACCACGTCCACCGCCACCCCTCTGTCCAAGTATACCGTCATCCACCGTCACCACGTCCACCGCCACCCCTCTGTCCAAGTATACCACATCCACCGTCACCCCTCTGTCCAAGTATACCACGTCCACCGCCACCCCCTCTGTCCAAGTACCCCTTACCACGTCCACCGCCACCCCTCTGTCCAAGTATACCACGTCCACCCCCACCCCTCTGTCCAAGTATACCAAGTCCACAGCCACCCCCTCTGTCCAGGTATACCACGTCCACTGCCACCCCTCTGTGCAAGGTTTTGCTCACCTCCTCATAAAAAGAAATCAGATTGTTTGACAACTTCTGTCTTTCATGAATCCATGCTGTCTGTTGCTTAAAATATGTTTTTCCAGCAAGAACTCATCTATGTGGTCTTTTATTAAAATCTCCAATATCTTCCCAACTATAGAGGTTAAACTAACAGGTCTATAATTACTTGGTAAAGATTTTGATCCCTTTTTAAATATTTGCACCACATTGACCTTACACCAGTCCAGTGGTACTATGCCAGTCGTTAAAGAGTCCCTAAAAGTGAGATACAATGGCTTTGAAAGGACAGAGCTCAATTCTTTAAGGCCCGTGTAGGTGCATGCCATCCGGTCCAGGTGCTTTATTCACCTTTATTCTGTCTAAATATTTCTGGATCATATCAATTGTGAGCCAATGTGGATCATCTGGAGCTGTGTCAATACCACGCCCATTATGGACAATGCTCCTTTGTATACACAGAGCTGAAGAAGGTATTTAATCAATTTGCTTTTTCTGTGTCCCCAGTCACCCACTCTAGATTATGTTGAAAACGGCCTACATGCCCAGACCTGACCTTTTTTACTATTAATATACAGTATTTGAAGAATTTTTGGGGGTTTGTCCTGTGATCTTTTGCAATCTGTTGTTCGTTTTCAATTTTTGTGGCTTTTATTTCCTTTTTTGCATATTCTGTTATATTCTTTGTAATGTTTAAACCACTTCCCAACCGCGCTATAGGCAGTTCCTATCAGTGCTGCCTATCAATGCAGCCTCATCAATATAATCATATCAGTGAAGGAGAAAAATTACCTGTTTGCAAAATGTTATAATAGAAACAAAAAAAATGTCATATGGGTACAGTGTTGAAAGCTGAAAATTTGCCTGGTAAGGAAGGGGGTACAAGTGCCCAGTAGGCAAGTGGTTAAAACGATGATAGCGTTCCTTCATTGTTATATTTAATAAAAGCTCTTTTCTTATGATCTATAGCTTTTTTAACTTTGGCCGTAAGCCAAAAAGGTTTGATTTTTGGCCTATTAAACTTGTTGCCCATGGGAATATATTTTGCAGTGTGTTCACATACAGACTTTTTGAAGAACTCCAATTTCTGTATTGTGTTCAGCGATGCAAATATTCCCTCCCAGTTTAAGTCTTGGAGAGCAGCTCTCAGCCTTTGAAAATTAGCTCTCCTAAAGTTGAGTGGTTTTTTTTTTTCCAGTATGTGCTTCATGTTTACAGCTAACAATAAATTAAATCTTGTTTGGTCACTGCTACCCAGATGTTCTTTTATATGGACATTCATAATAAGCTCTGCATGGTTTGAGATTACCAGGTACAGCAGAGCATCATTCCTAGTTGGGGCCTCTATAAACTGTACCATAAAATTGTGTTGTAGTAGGTGTATACATTTTTGCCCTTTAACTGTTCCTGCAGTACCATTATTCCAGTCAATTTCCAGGTAGTTAAAATCCCCCATTATTATCGCTGTCACAGCCTTTGCAGCCTTTTAGATGTGTACAAGGAGTTGAGTCTCCACCTCTTCATTAACACTGGGTGGCCTATAACAAACTCCAATGATTACCTTTGTAGTACACATCCCCATGTGTGCAGTTCCACCCATAATACTTCAGCCTCATCACACTCTCCATCAACTAGGTCCTCTTTCACACTCGCTCTGAGATCACTTCTCACATAGAGACAGACACCACCACCTTTCCTATTTACCCCGTCTCTCTGAAAGAGAACATAGCCAGGAATATTAATGGCCCAGTCATGTGAAGACTGAAGCCAAGATTCAGGAATACCAATTAAATCATAGTTCTCTTCATGCACCAAAGCTTCCAACTCGCCTTTTTTTTCTTGGCAGACTTCTGGCATTGGTGGACAAACAATTTAATTCATTGACACCTTGTCCACACGTATTTTGCATATTTTTTATTTACGTACAAATGGTACCAATTCCAATGGTTGTTTGTAACAGAGGAACCTTCTTATCACCTGCCATAGCCCTCCCCCCATATTTCCCCATTCCACCCACCAATAAGGACTGACCCCCAATCTGATCTGTCTGCCCCATTATAATCTAATTCTCCCTCCCCCCTCGATCCTAGTTTAAATACTCCTCCAGCCTTCCCATAAACATCTTCCTCAGCACAGCAGATCCCCTTCCATTTAGTTGCAAACCATCTCTAGCATATAGGTTGCACCCCAATGAAAAGTCAGCCCAGTGCTCTAGAAACCCAAATCCTTCCCTCTTACACCAGGTCTTTAGCCTGTGTATATTAGGCTAAATGCTCTGTAGCTTCCAGGTATAACTCTTGGCCCTTTTTTGAATATTGGTACCCTCTTTGGTTTTCGGCAATCAGCTAGTATCCTTCCAGCTAGTAAGGTGGCCTTAAAAATTAGAAATAATGGTCTGTCTATAACAAGGCTAAGTTCCTTGAGAACTCCTGGGTGTAAACCATCTGGTCCTAATCATTTTTTAGGTTTTTCTAGTCTTTTTTAAATACCTGTTTCTGTCACCCATGTGGGTACATTCAGTATGATTAACATTATTGTCTCTTGTTTATTAAATTCCCCCTTTCCTCCATATAAACTGGGAAGAAGAATGTATTTAATAAAGTTGCCTTCTTCCTGTCCTTTGTGACCAATTTCCCATGGCCATCTTTTTTTGGGGCCAATATGTTCTGACCTAGCCTTTTGGATTAATATGAAGCACACATTTTTTTTTGTAATTAACTTACCATTCTTTGTTGCATATTATTCCTTTGTAGAATTAGTGAGGTGGAGCCCAAGTACTATGCTGATGGTGAAGATGCATATGCTATGAAACGAGATCTCACCCAAATGGCTGAAGAGGTCAGTAGACTTGGATCTTAAAGCCTCAGTATATGGAATATATGTTTTGTTAAAATATTGTTACGATGAGCTTAATACGCTAGTCCTGCCTGCTTGGCTCCACTAGCTCATTCAAAGTGGTCTTGATTATCAAATGTACATACTAAACATTTTGGACAGCTTGCATGAAAGAGAGGCTCCTCCCACCCAAAACACATGGGTACGCTTTTTCTTTACAATCCCTGGCATTCTCCCAAGTCCCCAGTTTCATGTGTTTCCTCCGGCAAAATAGGACACATCCCTAGTTTGTTTTTCTGCTATCTGGCCAGCATGCGAGGTGCAGGGGCCTCCAAAGTACAGTCACCTTTTTTTTTTTTTGCTCCTGTTTTTTTTGCAAGGCAGGGGTTTTGGGGGTATGACCTCTACTGAGGATCACCAGAACCTCTTATGGGTTCCATCATTTTATTATTATTGTATGGTTGCTGAGGGATTTCTCAGCAAGCTGTACTGAGAAACCCATTCAAGGGAGAGTGGATTGCTGCCTGACGGTTATCAGTAACCAGAGAGTTAGTCCTTTATTAGAGCCATGTCTTTTGCATACCTGTTGAACTGGAACACTGGAGTGCTTTTCAAAATGGTGGCCCTGATGCAGGGAGCACATGGGGCTGTCTCTGGCATCCTCGTAGCCTTGTGGCGATGTCACTTCTGGTAACGCATGGATGATGTCATTTCTGGTGTCACAGGAAGTTGGATGGGGGCCAATTTGCTTTTGGGCATATACAGCTATTGAGGCATGAGCTGCTCTCTCCTTGTTGCAGCTGATAGGATCCACATTGGCTGCAAGGGGGCCACAGGTGGGGGGGACAGGGGAAGGGGCGGTGTTCCATCTACCTCATATTCACATGGCAGGCCGGCTCTCAAGCAGGTGTGTGAGGGCAGCCGTGCAGGAGACAGATCTCTCAGAGCAGGAGGAAACCAGTACCAAGGTAGGGCCTATGTCGTTGGGTTTTGTTACTCTCTTGCCTGTACGTGACTGGGCTCACGGATATATGTGTGGTGGCTGGTGGGCTTTGCTTTGTTTGGCATACCCTCTGCATATGGTGTGGTTTGGCGGTATGTTTCCCTTCTCTCTGTTAAAGCTTTAGGCTGTAAGAGGTTGTTATGGGACTGTTCTTTTTTTGCCCTCTCTTTAAGCTGGGGCCCAGGAAGAGTAGAGGGATAAAGAGGCTTTCTTGAGGTCAAAAATGTGCTTCATGTAAAAGGAAAGTTGTCTAGTTCATGGAGGAGACCTCTTTGTCAAGATTGTAATGATAAACTAGTTAAAAAAGAGGTGGGAACTCTCCTTTAGGATTTCATGCAGTCCATGAAAGAGGAGATGACTCGTATATTTCATTCTATCAATAACCAGCTGCAGGAGTCTGTACACACTGAAAGTCTTACTGGCACTTCTGGTACTACTATCCCCACCTGGCACATCTGGTACCAACTACCCACTCAGCCACTGCCTCGAGCTAGAAGCAGTTAGAGGAACAAGGAGTTTCAGAAAAATTAGAGGAAGATTCTGCCTGCATGTCAGAATCAGAAGGGAAAATTGTTGATAAAGCTCCTAAAACACAAATATTTCTGTTTCCATCAGATGAGACAGATGATCTTCTCAAAGTAATCTCTATGATACACTTGAACTTGAGGAAGAACTGCAGTTTTTATTACTACAAGATCGACTATATGCAGGGTTACAGAAAAAATGCCTAAGCTCATTCCCGGTTTATTGTATTGTAGAGGACACCATTAAGAGGGAATGGAAAGACCTTGAGAGGAAAATGTTCGTTTCAGATAACTTGAAAGGGAGATTTCCCTTCAAAGAAGAGGATGCGTTACTTAGGAAACATTTCCTAAGTTAGATGCCTGCTTTGGAAAATTTCTAGGACAGACCTTTCCTTTGAAGATGGAGGTGTTAGTGGAAGTAGATGTCAGATTCTATGGATTGTAAAGCAGAAACATTTTTAAAACAAGCCTGGAAGGCTAACGCTGTGACCTTTAAACCGACCATAGCAACTACATGCATACCCTGTACCCTGGACATTTGGTTGGGTCAGCTTCATTCACATCTGGAATAGGGCACCCCAGCAGAGTAAATTCTTCAATTGTTGCCTGTTTTGGATAAAGCAGTAGTTTTAATTTCTGATGCTTCTATACAGTAGAAGCCACAGCAAGGTCTACCGCACTCCTGAAGTCCTGGCAGGGGGAATTTACCTCAAAGGCCAAGCTTGGAGAGCTCCTTTTTGAAGGAAACCTCCTGTCTGGGCCTTCCTCCAGCAATGGCAAGAAGTCACAAAGAGGCCCTTAATACTGAATATTATAAGGTGTGGATACAGAATAGACTTTTTGGGCCTCCCCTCAGCAAGCTTTTTTGCCACCCCTCTCCCCTTGAAATGAAAGAAAAGCAGAAGCACCTTTAGCTCTGTTGGAAGAAATATTATAACAAGAGGTAATAAGCCAGGGGGTTTCTATCCTACATTTTTCCTCAGGAAGAAACATTCGTGGAAATGCAGGGGGTGTTAGCGGAAGCTTTGCCAGTCTTGAGGTTTAGAGAAAAATCTCAGCTTATTCCCACAAAGAAGATTACTTACTTGGGCTACACGATAGATGCATTGACCACCAAGATACTGTATATCTGACTTCGGAAAAGGTGCAGATGCCATATAGCTGTTGGGAGGCAGGACAACAGCAATACTGGGATCCAATGGGCCCAACTGTATTTAAGGACCATTCAAATCATATAGTGTTGTAGTGGCGCTGAATAAATAATAATAAAATATAAAGTGAATACCACAAAATAAATGTGACAAAAAACTGATAAGCTATCCATGATAAATGTGATAAAAAAAATTGCCACAATCATATTATCACATTTATTTTTCTTTTGGTGTATTTAAGGACCATTCGATGTTTTCTTCTTGCACAGTGGGATGGGCTTCAGAGTTCTCTAGGCTCAAGAATACCCATTCTACAGGAGGTGAAGGAATCTCTCAGGCTAAAACTACAAGTGCTGGGGCACAGCGGGATCCAGTCATAATTACTACAGACGCCAGTTCTTGAGGATGGGGAGCTCACTTGAAAAATCACATAGCCCAAGGGAAATGGAACTCAGTGATGTCGGAAAGCTCCTCAAATCTGAGGGAGCTGGCAGCCGTGGCAGAATCTCTCCTAGGTTTTCAAGAAAGGATCAGAAAATTCAAATACTTGCGGACAATCTCACCACGGTAGCTTATTTAAACAGACAAGGCGGCACCAGGTTGGAAAAGGTTATGAAAGTGGCAGGAGAACTTTTTGCAAGGGCAAAGGCAAACCTTGTCTCTTTAACAGCAGTTCACCTGAAAGGATGGCTGAATCAATTAGCTAATCGCTTACGCTGCAAAGAAATAGTGCAGACGGAATGATGTCTGATTCTGATAGTCTTTGCACAAAGTTGCAAGAAATGGGGATCACCGGAAATGGATCTCTTTGCCAACAACACCAATGCATAGGTGAAACGTATTCTCCATTCAAGAAGACCCAGAGAGCGCAGGCACAGATGCACTAGCTCAACACTGGGTGGGGGAACTCCTTTGGGCTATATGTCCTTTTTTCTAATACCATGGGCAATTCAGAAATTGCAGAGGACAGGAGCAGAGATAATCCTCTTTGTGCCTTTTTGGCCAAAAAGGGTGTGGTTCTCAGCTCTGCAAAAAACCGTGTGTGATTAAGCCCCGGATACTACAAGCATGACAGGACCTTCTGGTTCAAGGCAAAATATACCACCCTCAGATAGAAAAATTAGCCTTGGCAGTGTGACTTCTTAGAGGGAGCGGTTAATTAACAGGGGTCTTTCGGTGAAAGTTGTAAATACTATCTTGAATAGCAGAAAGTGTTCCAAGAATGCTATCTACAACAAAATCTTGAAAATGTGCTCCTATTGGAAGCAAGATAATGACTTGACAGGTTCCACAATTCTTAATTCAGTCTTGAAATTCGTGCAGGCAGGCGTAGACAAGAAGTTATTAATAGGCACTCTTTAAAGTTCAAGTAGCTGCTCAAACTTTCTGAAAATAAATTAGCAGAAGATCCTCTGATAAAAAGGTTTCTAAAAGTGATCTCTAGTAGTAGAATCTCAAATAATAGTAGATTTCCCTCTTAGAATTTGGGTATGGTCCTCAGGAGTTTTTTTTACTTAACTCTTCGAACCTTTAAACAAATGCTCACTAAAGTGCCTCACGATTTAAACGGTTCTTTTGCTCGCTTTGGTTTCGGTAAGAATTAGAGAGCTCCATGCATGTCGGCCAAAGCACCTAATTGCAGTATCTTCTTTTTACAAACGTTATTCAGTTGTACAGACAGAACTTTATCTTAGACAGTTACGGACCAGGTTAGGTGAATGCAAAGTAAAAGCACAAATGAGCAAGGCTTAAGACCATACAATATAAAAGGTTAAGGGTCTGAACCTGCGTTTAAGTGTTGGTAACGTAGAAATATCTAATAGCATGTCAGGTCATACATTCAAATAGGTGTGTGAGTATTATGCGTAGAGCATGTCATGTTACCATGAGTAAGAAATACAGATTTCCCAACCGTCTGAACCAGGATATTGCCTCGCAGCCCAATAAACGTATCATTTGGCTGGAAGATGAGGAAACAAAGTAATTGGCAAAGGAAAAGTTAGAACAAGAGAAAAGAGGGGAAAAACGTATGAGGTCACGAAGTAGGACTGTCAAATCGACAGAAGGGCATTGTTGAACAGAGATGGCTGGGCATGAGTAATCCAAGTTGCCAAACCCAAAGAAATTTCTCATGGGTATCTAACAGTATGGCCATCAATTTTTTTTATTGATCATAATGTTATTCATTTGATGTTTGACAGCCTTGAAACTAACTGGGTTTTCCATGCATTTGCTATAGTCAATTTGTTTGCAATAAAAAGGTGTGATGCCAATTGTCAGTGAGGGCGTATTCATTCTTCAATTGGTTTAAAGAGGAGGGCTTCA